ATTTCCATCGCTATCGCTGCACCATCGCCTTTGCTCGCTTGACGAAGCTATTCCGGACCAAATCTGAAGAGGGAGCTACTGCCTTGATTATTCCTCTCGAGCTTCCTGCCATTTTCAGAACGAAAAGAGACAACAAGAGTCTTACCGCAATGGCAAAAGGAAGGCTGTTTTGGGGCCCTTTGGATATGTGGGAGCGTCGGACGATCATTTTGAAAGACAATCGCCTGCCTTCGAACTTCCCCATCACCTTGCAGACAGACTTTGACGACCAGGGCTACATCAACATTGGTCGATGGACAACCTTGAGATTCATTGTCGGCGATGAAGGTAACCCCTTGGACGAGGTGCTGGAGGCTCTTCATGCATACAACATCGAGGCAACTTTGAGCGACTTCAAGTTCACTCCGCATAGGCCGGCTCTACTCGCTACACTATACAGAGCTTCAAAGACTCAGGGGAAGGCAGAAGACATCTCCGCCGGTCTATCTCTGCAGTCTCTCGCATCCTCATTGGAGTCACCGCCAGCGTTGGACTTCCAAGTCCACTATCAGTTGGAGGTTTGCATTTCTCGAGGCATCATCTGTGAATACGCCATCACACGCGAGTTCCTGGAGCGATTAGCAGTTATCAACAAGGACCGTGCAAAATGGACTCTCGAATATTTTGCAGATCGAGAGAAGAGAGTATGGAATCTGAACGAAATCTTTGAGGACGAGGAGGCGAATCTTCACTTTCCCAACCCCCTGATGCCTCGCTACTGCACCACAATCCGGAAGGTCGTCGTGACTCCCACAACAGCATACTACAGCTCTCCTGGCGTCGAGTCCTCCAACAGAGTTCTCCGAAAGTACAGCGAAGATCAAGACCGTTTCCTCCGAGTACAATTTACTGACGAACTTTACTACGGCAAGATCTACAGCGACTCGGGCGAAGAGCTTTTCAGCAGGGTCTACCGTACTTTGGCCAAGGGCATCACCATTGGAAATCGACACTACGAATTTTTGGCATTCGGAAATTCTCAAATTAGAGAATGTGCGGTCTACTTCTTTTGCCCAACGGACCACAGATCCTGCGATGATATTCGAAACTGGATGGGTGACTTCGGTCACATCAAGAATGTTGCGAAATACGCTGCACGGATCGGGCAGTGCTTCTCTACCACGCGCGATATTCCAGGAACCAACGTTGCCAATATTGTTCCCATTGAAGACGTCGAACGCAACGGCTTCTGTTTCAGCGACGGCGTCGGCAAGATTTCGCAGCTGCTGGCGCACATTGTCGTCGAAGAGATGAGCAGCGATGACGCCTGCATCAGCGTTCCTTCCGCATTTCAATTCCGAATGGGCGGTTGCAAAGGCATGCTGGCTGTCTGGCCCGATGCCAAAAGGCAGGAGGTTCATATTCGGCCATCTCAAGAGAAGTTCAAGGCAAGATTCAATGGTCTTGAGATTATCAAGTACGCACAGCATTCGATTGCGACCTTGAATCGCCAGACAATCACTGTTTTGACATCCCTTGGTGTTCGAGCGGAGACAATCCTGAAGCTTGCGGAACGGCAGATCAAGAACTACCAGAAAGCGATGAACGATCGAGTTGCGGCCGCTAGCCTTTTGGGTCAGTATATCGATGAGAACTTGACATCATTGACGATCAAAGATCTCGTTGGTTGGGGCTTCATGGACCCGGAGATTCAGGAGCCATTTGTGCTGACAATCCTGGATCTTTGGAGAATCTGGTCCATGAAGCTGCTCAAGGAGAAGGCCCGTGTCATTGTGGAGGAGAGTGCTTTCCTTCTAGGCTGCTTGGATGAGACAGGTACTCTGCGAGGTTACTCGACCGCCACCGAAGGAAAGAAGACCAACAACATCGAGGATCTGCCTCAGGTCTTCTTGCGGGTCGAAAGCCCTAGCGGCAGTGGAAAGTTCACATGTGTCACGGGGCTTTGTATCGTTGGACGCAACCCGTCACTTCATCCGGGCGATCTTAGGGTGGTGGAGGCAGTTGACGTTCCCCAGTTGCACCACCTGAGAAATGTCGTGGTTTTCCCACGAAACGGCGACCGCGATGTTCCGAGCATGATGTCAGGAGGCGATCTGGATGGCGATGACTTTTTCGTGATGTGGAACCAAGACCTCATTCCAAAAGATTGGCACCAACCGCCGATGAACTATACTCAGCCTACACCGGCGGTACTTCGTCGGGACGTTCAAGTCAAGGATCTCAGAACATTCTTTGTTCGGTACATGCAGAACGACAGTCTCGCCTTGATTGCTACTGCGCACTTGGCCCACGCTGACAAGTCTTTGCTTGGCGTCAAGGATCAGAAATGTGAGTTTATCTGGGATGAAACGGGCCTAAAGAATCGTAGGAGTACTAACACAATATAGGTCTTCAGCTCGCAGCGCTACACTCCAAGGCTGTCGACTACGTCAAGACTGGTGACCCTGCAAAGCTCCCTCCCGCACTGAATCCCAAGGAACGCCCTCATTTCCTGGGCAGCAGAGGCCAAACCTACCACTCATCGACTGCTCTCGGCAAACTGTACGACATGATCCAAGACGTGGGATTCAACCCCCTCTACGAGAAGGGTTTCGACAACAGAGTTCTGAACCGCTTTCATCTTACTGAAGACTTGCTCTCCAAGGCGCGAGCGGTCAAGGTCCAGTATGATATGGCAATGCGGCGTCTCATGGGTCAGCGCGACATTGATACCGAGTTCGAGATTTGGACCGGGTTCGCCTTGTCCAAGCCGCGCGTCGGCAGTGACTACAAGCAGCAGGAAGAGATAGGCCGAGAATCCTCATTGCTGAAGCATCGTTTCCGCGAAATTTGCTATAGGGAGGCTGGTGGTAGTAGGGTATTCGATAACATCGGCCCATTCGTGGCGGCCATGTATAAAGTGACCCAGGACGAGGTCAATGCAGCACTGGCAGGGGAGTATGAAGACGAGGAGCACAAGCGTCAGTCCATGCCCCTGATCAGCTTCCCCTGGATCTTCCACTGGATCATGGGCCGTATTGCCACGGGCAAAGTCAAGACCACACCCACCATCAACCCAGAAGCAGCGCCAATTACGAAGAAGACCTACCACGCTCCCCATGGAAAGGTTGAGGCGGAGCCAGCGACGCAGATTGAGGACGGAAGAGAGGTCCACCGGGGTGAGATGCTCAGGTTGTTTGACAACAGCCCCACGGACAGGAACAGCGACGAGGTCTCAGTGTCATCCAAGACCGAAGACGCCACCGGTGGGGAAGAGGTACATGTCGAGGATGAAGACAACACCATGGATCGTATGGTCGCATTGATGAGCGGCGCCAGAGGCTGAACTCGGGCGCGATAACGGGAGCTTTTTCTGCTGCGACACGGCGTTCGACAGGTCATTCCCGTCGTCTCTCGCCGTTCATCATGGATATAGATTGAGCAGCGATTCGGAGCTTGAGAAAGGGAAGAAGGCTAGCAGATTTGGGTTGATTGGGCCCTGATGGCCGGAAGCGCGAGTGCACACACAATTCGTCAGGCATCAGTCACTTTCCATTTACGAGACACATGGACATGGCATAATAGATTTCACTTCATGACGCAGACGTCGCCTGTTGCTGATGCCGCTGTGACCTTGGGACATGCCCAAGGATGTCCCCGAACCGAAGGGTCCACGTCGTGTTGCTGCGAGAGGGAATAGACGGCATGGCCAAGAGGATGTGGCAGCGCAGCGTAGGCCTCCTCTCCGGGCCGTTTTCTATTCGGGGCACTCGGGGAGGCAGCCCGGACGCAGCCGGTTGAGGCTTCTACATACAAGATATACACGTTTTCTTTCGCACAAGTGTATACAAATGACATAGACACATGTGCAGACTGCAGACTACCTTAGACGAGAAACACCCCTCAAGAGGGCCGCAGGACGCAGGACGCAGGCACGAGAAAAGGGGTGCATGCCGCTGCGTTCATCCACTGCAAAAGTGCGCGCGGCGCCCACCAAAAGGAACAACCCGTAGATCAGCAGCGAGTAGTAATAACAGCAACAGCAACGGCAATGGCAACAGGATCTTATCTCACATCAGAACAACAGTCCTATCAGAAAACAGTCCAGGTAGAAGATGGCTTCCCCCCTCCTCAAAGTCAGCCGCATCGCTTAGGAAGATGTCTACATGGCACACATGGCGACATAGGCGAGTTGCGAGTGACACACAATGATGGGTAGTGTGCATTTTGTTCGGGGAGAGGGAAGAGGGGGGTTAAGGACCCCTTGAAAATTGCTACCTGTCCCGGCAACGTCTGTCTCAATGATTTGGCAGCTGGGACTTTGTTCGTGAGCAGTCGCGAACGAGCACAAACAAGCCCTCTTGCTTCTCATCCCCGGCACGACTGCCACACACACCACACCTCTTGTCGTTCTCGGAACAAAAACAAGGACCGCAGGGAACAGGAGAGAAAAATCCCGCTCGGTCCCTTTCGAACACGTCGAACACGTCGATCAACGGCAACCTAATCGGGCACGGGATGCATATCCAGAGATCACTTGACGCCGTCCCGATGTCGAACAAGACGAGAGGTCCCGTTCTTTTCTCCATACGATTCAGCAGCAGCAGCAGAATATTTGACCAAATAAGAGGGGAAAGGAACAAGTGGACGAGGAGGAGTAGATTGTAGAAGGCCCAGGGCGGGGGGAGGGGTGCGGCTGCACATGGCACGATCCCGCGGCGGTTGGTGGGTTTGGTTCTCTGGACAGGTACGAAAGGGAAGTATGCAATGATCTCGTAGGTATTGATCTGTCATCCTTCGCGCGTGGCTTGCCTCTTGGAACAGAGTACCCTCTCTCTCTTCCGGAAACGAAATACCAACACAGTGGATGCACCATCCGCTACGCCCGCGCGATCTCGTTCCTCTTGGCTCCACGTCCGAGCGGGAAAAGGAGGGGTGTGGCCCGGCATTGGGTTGTTTTCGTTTGCGTTCATGTTTGTGTATGTGTGAGTGTGGGTGTGGCCGTGAGGGCTGCGGCGTGTTCACTTCCTGACGCAGAGATCGGTCCTCAACACCCACTTTTCGCCCGCGGTGACTTCCCGCCCCTCGTGCTGTTGATAAGTGGAACATGTGTCAGTCTGCAGTTCCTCGGACCTAGTACGACTGGGGAGATGGGTAAGAAAAAAATAAGTGGGAGGGGGGAGGAAGGGAGTTTAATGTCTCCAACAGTGGGCGGGCAAGGCGGGACGGGTGGTTGGGGTGAGAAAGCGAGGAGCACGAAAAGGTAGCAGAGGTGAGGCCGCAGTGGTGTGGCCGTGGTAGGCCTGTTTCGCGCTACGAAAAAGAAAAGAAATAGGTACTGCAGAAGGAACGTTGGCGAAAAGCCCATGGTGGCAACGGTCGCGGTTGTACAAAAGAGCATGGTCAGGAGCGCGCGGTTTTGGGCCGGGGATCAGGGGAGAATGCAGAGCCTTTCGAGGCGAGGCGAGGGGAACGCATGACGATGGAAATCGTACACGAGTAGAAAAAGAGGAAGAGGAAGAGAACTTACCAGCATACAATCGTCGCCATGCTTGTGCAAGAGAGCCATGCCCGTTTCGAGCGCGACCGGGATCTCCTCCTTGGCGGAGCGGCGGTCGTTGGGGAAGAAGACGGTCTCGCCGCCGACGCAGCCCTCGGCGGAGGAGGTTAGGTAGAGCAAGAGTGTCCAGGTTGTCTTGCACGGCACGGCTCCCGCGGAGGGGTCGAGGGCGAGCGAGACGTTATTGGAGTCGTCGTCTAGGTGTGGGGGTTCCGTTGGTCAGCTGGCCTGGATCGATCTCAAGAGCAGAGGAGAGATGAAGAGGAGGCCTGCACGGAAGACAGGTGAAGGCAACAGAAGGAAAGTGTCAAAGAGCGCAGAAGAAATCCTTGGAAGCTGCAGCCAGGCAATCGCCAGCGCACATTCGTTGCTTGATTTCTCGAGCGGATGGAAAGATGCGAGATACTCATGGGTTGACTGGATCGGACTTGCTGGCTCCCGGACTCAATTCTCCCCCGGGACCCTGAAGGATAACGCCATTGGGTGGATCGGTATGGAACGATCCGCAGGGTTTGGGCCTGCGGGACAAATCGATGGGATTCGCGGTGCTGGAGCTCTCGAGAGTCTTGTGATGACGAGTGGAAGGTAAACAAAGAGGACTGAGCGGAGGAGGCGAGATATCATATATCAAAAATGACCATCGTAGATCGCTGGCCTCGTCCATTGCGGGGCCATGTAATTTCATCCTCAAACATAACAGAAATAGTGGGTAAAACCACCGCAGGTCCCGGCTGGTTTTGTCTCTTGTCTGCGACACTTCAAGTCATGGGACCTCTTTGGAGACTTTTGTTCTGGGCTTGATGAGGTTGAGACATGCATAGACTAGAAACCACTCCATGGCGAGTATCCGTAGGAATGGGTCGATGAAGGAAATTGCCAAAGGGGCGAGAGAAAACGTATGGACCAAGCTTGCGTGACCAACTACTCGCAAGATGTGTCTGCACACGGCAACTGTAGCCTGCTGAACACCAGACGAGCGTCGTGGGCTGGTCTAACTGTAACTTGGCCTTGAGACCTAAGAAGAGTCGGTGTAGGGAGGAGGATATCAACACTTTGTGATGTCACGATTGCTCGCCCAGGACTTCGAGGGCTTGCATGTCTTCCTGCTGTTGTCTCTCAACTCGAGCTATTGATCAACAATGACAAATCCTGGTGGCTTGCTGCAGGTTGCACTCGCAAAAGGATTTCGAGGAACTCGATCATGGATCCTGACTGCTCTGAGGCGGGTAGGACTTCGCATAGTGACACGCAGAAAATTCGTCGCCCGCAGTACATGTGTTGTTTTATGACAGGTTGACGACTTGGCTCTGGGACTTACAGTGTGCATCAAAGTACTGGCCCTTGGTGTAGCGATAGATGCGAATGTTGGGGTTCAGACCGACGACCTCACCGCCCCTAGTATGTATTACTCGTGTCAGCCGAAATCCCGCCTGGATGTTCATGAGGCAGCTGGTTTTCTTCTTCCGCATGGGTTTCGTGTGTGCAAAACTCCTTTTGGGCATTTTCGACTGGTTGCAGCTGGCGGATCTAGCCGGAAGCGCGTACGATGCATCCTTCAGGGCCAGGGTTCTGAACAGGGCGGGGAGAGGGCAGGGGGAGGGAAGTGAGAGCAGTGGACTCACCATAAGTCCTGAACATCTTCTTGGGCAAGCGATTCGCGCAGGCCCGTCTCCTCCCACAGGCGTCGAGCGAAAGTGGCATCCTGTACTTGGAAACGGTCGTTCACTCTGACCGCCTCCCCTCTCTTGGGTCGGCCAGGGGTGGTGACAAGCGGGAGATTCCTCAGGAATGTGACGTAGGAACTGCATAGGGATTTCGGCCAGAAATTGCGGACAAGAACGACCTTGTCCGGGCACGAGGGGAATTTCTCGGGCACAAGGTCGGTGACTGGTAATGGTGGCTTGAATTGGGGCCAAGCGGGAGGGACGTTGGGAGCGGGAGCAGCGGTCGTCTTTGCGTTGGCTCCAGCGTTGCCAGCGCCTCCCTTTGCTTTGCCAACGTTGGCTGTCTTCTGTTTGCCCATGGTAAAGCGTCGATGCTGTGCCGTACGGGCACAGGCGGAACGTGGCCGTAGATGGATGATGTGCAGCAACCCAAGGAGCTTCTGGTGGCTGATGGCTCCCGTAAGTTGTCTGGGACTTGAGGCTCCCGCTGTCGTATCGCGAAGTACCCGTAGCGCCTGGACCAGGACGGGAGGGGCCAAGCTGGTGGAGTGGTCAAGGATGAGAAGGCCAAGGAGCTGTGATGCAGAGCTGATGATTGGCGGTTGAATGTCGGGTTGACTGGGAGTACCAAACGTCGTTAGCAAGTGGTGGTGTTGTGTCAGGACGAGATCTGATTAGGGCCGACGGAATCAGTCCACGTGAGACTTGACGTGGGTTGGGCTGATGCAGGTGCTTAGATTTGAACCACGATTCGTTGGCCAGATCAGCTCTAGGTATCTGCCGAGACTGTACGTATGCGCAGGGGGGTTCGTCGTTACGAGAAATTCTGCCTTTGTGGGCGCAATCAGGACTGCGTAGACTGCGTGGAGGATGGCAAGATGAAGTCGAGTGGATTGAGGTTGGACAGTGGGACACCCAACGCTGAGGGCGCTAACCATCTGTAGCGGTTGGGTAGGTACGTACTGTGTGCACTAGGACAGTGCCTCTGGCCGCGGACGATAGGTGCATGGTTGGCGTGTGCCAACCTGGGAAGCCGCGCCTTACCCGACCGCCGCCGCTCCTTTGAGACCCCCGTGGTCCCGCTTTAAAGTGGAAGACCTCCCCGGGGGTCCGGGGCACTCATCGCCGGGACCAGGGGACACTCGAGGGCGTAGAGGTGGGCGGCACTAGAAGTGCTGGTCTCGCTTGGTCTCGAGATCCGTCTTTCCCAGCATATCCTCCCTGCCGTGTGCTATCTATGCCCTTCTTTCGTCACATATCAGAGGCTGCTTCTCGTCAGTTCTTCTTTTTCCATGAGAAAAGTGAGAGTTGACCAAGTTTATCTCTCATTTGTGCTTTGTCTTCGCTTCTCCCAGAATTCCCACCTCACGCACCTGCGACTTGACTTGACTCGACTCAACAGGGACAACACGACGCCATCCTCTTTCCCCGCTGCCAGGATTGAAGATGCCAGCAAGGGCCTAAGGCGTGCGCGTAGAGGTAACGACTCAGATCTGATGCCCTCCCTTTCCCTTCTGTCGGATTTCAGTCCGTGCGCCGCGTCCCGTTGATTTGGTGCCAAAAAATCTTCTTTCTCTCGATCTTTGCCGCTTGTGGTTGAAGAGAGCAGGTAGACTTTGTGACGCTGAGTCGCACGCTACGAGGCCGGCGCGTACAGCGAACGAGGCACAGGGCCTTCCGTGACTATTGGCGGGAAGGCCCCACGACACATCAGCAAACTTTCGCCCGCGCGGTTGTTCCCGTTACCAAAGTTTTGCGTCGCAAAGAGACGCCATTCCCGCCGCCAACGTCGACTTTTTTGTTTTCTTCGCCCGTTGGAGTAGTAATCAATACGTTCGCTGCCGCAATATGCACATCCCGCAGTGACAGGACGTTATCGTGTCAAGAGATCGATCACTTAATGCGCAACCCGATCATCGACCCAGATACATGGTAAGGCAACCATGGCACCCAGCGACACCGCGATAAACTCGCACCTCGGCGATCGCGGAGATTCCCACATGTGCTGCACGTCGAGGCCGTGCCTTTACTCGCCTGCTAAATCCCTCAGCCGCTGTCATTCAGTCAAATTCTGGCCGTAGAAAGTTTTGTCCATGGGCGTCAGCTGAGCCCGACCCCATCCCATCGTCATTAGGTGGTCCCTATTCGTGACTATTGCCCTTCCGGGCTGAGGCACTAGATCTCCAGAAAGTGATATATGACAGACGTGCAAGTTGCCAGCCACCAATCACTGCCCGCTGTCTGTGCCCTCGCCCATTGTGTGTCAGCCCTTATTAGTCGCTTGGGCATTTCTCGAGCAAGACGCATCCTTATTTGGCGAAGAAAAAGAGTGTCTTGCTGCAGGCCGCCTGCCCAATCTTATTGCAACATACGATTTTGTGGAATATCGCTTCTTGTTGATGATGAAGGCATCCAACTTGTTAGAGGCTTAGAGTCTCGATGAGACATGTCGGGCAAGATTGGAATTCCTCATTCTCCGTAAGCCAACATCTGTCTCCCATGCAATCCGATTGTGGCTTTATTGTCTTGCAGAAATTATCGAATCCAGGTGCCCGAGTGTCGGGATGGAGCGCTCTTCAGTCATGTTTGTCGCAGTCTCCACAGTCGAAGTCCGACATCGTCGCATGCTTTTCGCTGGTTGCTGCATTTCGCTAGTTCGCGACTCACTTTGGACGTCGCCAGCCCCATCGTCATTGCAACAGATTGCCCCCGTTGCTGTTATTCGGCCAACCATGTGACCCTGAGCTTTAGGCCGACCCGGAATTTTGATCGTATTGCAGAAAACTCGACTAATGCGCCCGCCGGCGGTCCAGGCCCCCCACCGATTTGTGTTCATGAGGTCGGTCTCGGTTTGGTTTCTCCTCTTCGTTGCGCTTATTCGACATGAGGTAAGAGAAGTCAACAATCAGACGAGCTTGACTTCGAACCGCCGTTTCCTTTTCGTCTAGAGAGAGACCAGATGTTTCTATGCAGGTACCAGGCAGATCGCAATGTCCCCAAGCATCGCTTAGACGACTGACAGTGCAATGCCGTTGCGATGACGTCGAACCCAAGGACACGGCACGACGGCTGTTGTGCGACCAGACGCAAATGCCAAGCTCATCTAGAAGAAGCAGTCGCGATGGAAAACCGGCAATGGCTGAAGTTGCCTGCTTCCACCTTGTGTAACTCGCACGAGTACCGCACAGGTCTGCAAAGACCCAGCAGCCTGGTGCAGCGCACCAGACGTTCAGAAGCCATCGGCGATGCAGCGATCAAGATCTTCGGGCCTTCGATCTTTGCCGAGACAAGCAGGTGGTCCGGACTGGGCAGTTGGCCGAAGCTTTGCGTCTGATGGCTGGCTTGGTGTTTAGTTTCATGAATCGTGAAGTTTGATGCAGCGCGGCGTCGATGGCGTATGCGTGCTGGAGGTAGCTGACAAGCGAGTTTTGATCTATCATTTTGCATGGTGGTTTTGCGCAGAAGTTTGCTGGTCAAATGCCAAACGGACAATCTTGCACAGCCGGCGGGCCCCATGCCATGCCATTCGCTAGATGCAGCCGTCAGAGGGGGGCGGGACAGGCCCCGGGGAAGACTTCCGCTGGCCAGGCTGGCATCTCATCTGCAAGTGATGTCGTCTGATGGGAACGACCGTTGCAAGGCCAACTGTCATCCCAACCTGGCACCAAGTACGTGATGATGGCCGGGGTTGATGTCGGTTGTGGAGGGTGGTGATTGGGCGTTGGAGATTTGAAAGCCCATGGGGGAGCAACGTTTGCCATTGCTTGACGAGGGATTTAGCGCAGCCATTAGCGCCGAGGGCTATCGCAATCGCAGACCGCCTCAATTGCTCGCATTTCAGCTGCAGACAAGAGGGAGCATGGCTTCTCGCGGATGCAATGTTGAGATTCCAGTCCAAGCCCTTGATGGTTTCGTGATGCTCGTCGTGGCTTGTCGGCCATCGCGGTCGCAGGGTTCGTGGCTGCGAGCCTTCTGAAGGTTGTGTGGTGTTGACAGTGGGCCAGCTTGCAGTCTGCAGACTGCATTTTGCATTTCGTCCGTAGTGAACTGTAGCATTCGGCCGGCATGATGCAAATTTGCGTACCTCCGCACATATACGACAGCCTGATGTAGGGGGGAAATTCTTGGAATTCAGGCGTGATTGAGGGGGAGAAAGCCGCCAATTGGGCGCTCATCTCCTGCCTTCGTATCTATTCAAAGATCATCGCCAAAGCAGCAGCCACGATGTAGTCATCGGAATGAGGCAGGCCAAATCGAAAGGAGCGGCGGGTAAGGCGGANGCCACGATGTAGTCATCGGAATGAGGCAGGCCAAATCGAAAGGAGCGGCGGGGAAGGCGGGGAATAAGGGACAGCACGTTCCTTACCTCAATATACTGGACGGGAAAGATCTGACGATCCCTGTCGTGAGAAGTGGAGCGGAGTCTCCTCCGTGGACTCATTTAATGCATAACCCGTTTCCGTTATTGCATATAACGCTCAAAAAGATGGGGTCGGCTAATTTTAGGGGCGGGAACTTCCTTTCCCCGACTCCAGAGTGGAAGAGCTTCCCACTGTCGAAGCAATTGCGCCAAAGCTAGCTCCGCTTTCCTTTGCCTGACCTTGCCTCACTTTGCGCAGCGCCTGAGCAGTGAGCCACCCGTCCAGTCCCCACGAACACCTTCAGCGCAAACACTTCAGCAAACAGCCTGTGGTCAATTGAGTCGGGAAACACTGTCCTTGGCTTGGTAAGCCCCCTCCCGATCAGCCACTGTGGATGGTGTCTCTAACTGCTGAGGCAATCAAGGCTCAAGATTCGATGCTTGCGCAACACTCCTCAGCCATGGCTCCAGCCGACAACGAGTCGCCGGGCTCTCGCCTCACGAGGCCACAAGCTCAGCCAACATCCTCCGCTTTCTCCTCGAGGGCTGCAAAACAACTGGGCCTGTTCTTTGCTGGCGCCAGCTTCCTGTTGTTTTCGTCTGTGATCACGCGACGAGCCGTTGCAAGGAAGACAATGGCCGCCTACCCCAAGTTCTACTCGCCGAGCCATGCCGCGGCTGGCAAGCAGGGCAACCCTGAGGGCTCCCTGATCGCCCTGGAGGCGCTGAACCTGGCGACTCTTAACGTCGTCAGCTTTGGCATGATGATGACTGGAGGTGCCGCTTGGGCGTTCGACATAAGTTCCGTGGAGGACTTGAGGGCGATGGCTCGTAGGAGTATTCATGGAGCCGCTGGCCAGACAGACGAAGCTGCCGAGAGAGAATTCGAAGAATGGGCCGCTAGAGTTCTCACCAAACTTGGAAAGACGCCCCAGGATGAAGCAGCAAACAAGAACGAGTCTGGCTCCAAGTCAGGCAAGGAGGGACGATGAGGTGGCA